AAACCTCAAGCTGGAATTATGATCACTGGAGACTTTAATAGAACTGAAATTAAATCTTTTCTGTAATGGTAATAATTTAAAACAAATTGTAAGATTGCCTACAAGGGGAAAAGCAATTTTAGACTTAATGGTTACTAATATGTATGACTTATACCATATTCCTGAATCACTTTCCCCAATGGGGCGCAGTGACCACGGAATGGTTTTAGTTAAACCATTAAATAATAAACCATTAAATTATCATCAAGGCTGAAAACTCATACAATGTTAACAAAGTTCGTTATCTTCAGAAAGTGGAACCGGGTAGGTGGCATCGACAAGTAAAATGGTTTTCCAATATGAACAGGGACTCTCTTACCATCCATGTCCCTGGATTTAATCAAGGTGACCATATAGCTATCGCTAATGTTGTAAATAAACACTTAGCCAGTCACTCTCAAAGTCAGAATGCAGTAGATACAAAAAGTCTCCCTGCATATCTCCCTTGCCCTGTGCCACCTACCCAGTTCCACCCATGGGAAATTTACGAGGATCTGAAGAGGGTGTCTGTTTCGAAATCAACTGGTCCAGATGGTGTCCCACAAAAGGTGCTTAAAGCATGCGCCTACGAATTCAGCCTACCTGTAACACACATCATTAATTCCTCACTTGCGCAAGGCAAAGTGCCCTTGCAGTGGAAATTGGCCAATGTGATCCCCCTTCCGAAACAGACACCCCCTTCTATTAACAAATTAAGGCCAATTTCCCTGACCTCTACCTTGGCTAAAATTGCTGAGAAAAGAGTGTCAAGGTTTGTGATTGATACAATTAACCCTTTTATTAATCAACAACAATATGGAAACCAAAAAGGAGTGTCCACGACCCACTGCTTAATAGATGTTTATAACTTTTTAATGTCAAATTGTGAGAAACGAGGTTCAATATGCACTCTTGTTCTTACAGACTTTACCAAAGCTTTCGATTTGATCAATCACCGAATAGCTTTTAACTGTTTATATAACTTTAGTATCTCTCCATCTATCTTGCAGTGGGTCGTTGACTTTCTTTCAAATCGCAAACAGAGGTGCAAGTATAAAAACTGTTACTCTGATTGGGAAGTTTTAACTGGAGGTGTCCCGCAAGGGACTATCCTAGCACCAATCATTTTTCTTTGCCCTTAATGATGTTCCTATTGATGGGGATGTTCATGTCTGGAAATATGTTGATGACCTGACACTTGGAGAGAGTAGGTTGGTGGAGGGTCAATGTTCCCTTCAAGCTAAACTTGACTCACAACAAACTCAAACTGAACCCCTCCAAGTGTCAGGTTATGCAAGTCTACTTTGGCCGCAATGATATTCCAGATATAAGCATCCACTTATCCAATAACCGTTTAACGGTTGCTAATAACGTTAAACTACTAGGAGTAGTTCTAAGCAGTGACCTAAAATGGGAAAATCATGTTGACCTAATGGTCAAAAAGGCTAATAGGAAACTATTCACGTTAAGAAAATTAAAAGAGGCTGGTTTCAATAATAATGAGCTGTTAACAGTCTACATGGGATACATACGGCCCATCCTAGAATATGCAGCTCCTCTGTGGTCTGGGGGACTTACAGTTTACCAGGAGACTTCCTTGGAAAGGGTGCAAAAACGTGTATGTCGGTCCATTCTTGTAAACAATTATGTTGACTATCAGGATGCTCTCGAAAAACTTGGGCTGGAATCACTCACACAACGTAGGATTTTATTATGCAAAAAGTTTGCTATACAAATTAGTAACGATAAAAGATTTAGTCACTGGTTCCCAAAATCTAAAAATATTTCATTCAATGAAACTTCGTAAACATAGAAATTATGAAATGCCTTTCCTGAGGACTGAACGTTTTAAAAATAGCCCCATCCCTTATCTAATGAAATTAATTTAAGAATAAATTTAATTTTGCAATTGTTTTTAACTTTGCGAAATTTTGATGGTTTGGGTTCTTTTTTTGTATTGTCTTTAAAATAGCCCCACCACTTATCTAATGAAATTATTTTGAAAAATTCAAATTGTGCAATTTTAACGTATAAGAGACAGGTCTATGGTTGTGTTGATATTGATAGTGTTGTTGTTGGTGGTGGTGGTGGTGGTGTTGGCGGCGGCGGTGTTGGTGGCTGTGGTGGTGGCGGAGGCGGTGGCTGTGGTGGTTGCGGCGGCTGTGGTGGTAGCGGTGGCTGTTGTTAATCCAGCTGCATGCTGGTAAATCTAACCTTGCATTTTATAGGCCTGTGTATTATTTCGTTGTCATGTAGCTCAGTGTAAGCCTATTATCATTCTATCTTTAGAATGTGCAGTCTATTTAGTTCAGGAATGCATGTGATTGCTGAATAATTAGCAACAGTATATTTACTCTCCTATTGCTAAATAATTCAAAAACTGTTTTTATTCAGAAAATAACACAGATAAGATGTGCATGAGAATGACCAAAGATGTCGAATATTAACAGAGTGGCAGTACCAGACGAATGGAGGCTCAACT